CATTACTTTCCAACAATTGGAAGTAATGAATATGGATGGGTCAGCTCTCCATTTGGAAACAATGAAGCTACAAATCTTACAACTGAAGAAGAAGAGCAGCTCATAGATTTAAAAAACGATGCAGTTCTTAAGTCAAGTTTTGCCGAGAAAAACCTGGATGTCTTTTGGATTTCAATCAACAAGTTATATCCTGCAATCAGTTTAAAAGCAATCAAAATAATTCTTCCATTTGCATCTAAATGGTTTTGTGAGTTTGGATTTTCAGCACTGACTGAAATCAAGTCTAAGAAAAGAGAGAGACTTCTTACAATAGACGATGAAATGCGAGTTTGTTTGTCGGCTCTGGAGCCTCGATTAGATCGAATTTGCTCTCAAAAAAACAGGCCCACCCTTCACATTAAATGTAATACTTAAAAACAGGTAAAATCTTTTTTTCTTTTTTATTATAAAACAACTGTTGCTCTTCGTGGTGTGCCGCGAAATTTGTGTAGTTTTTTTACTGTGCCGCCAGACAAAAAAGTTTGAGAAACACTGCTATTGGTCATAAGAAAGACTTGGTCTGTTACCCTAAGCCCATAGGTCATAAGAAAGACTTGGTTTGTTAGCTCGGGGCTGTAGGTCATAAGAAAGACCTGGTTTGTTAACCCAAGCCTATAGGTCATAAGAAAGACCTGGTTTGTTAACCCAAGCCTATAGGTCATAAGAAAGACCTGTTTTGTTACATCAGGCCTATAGGTCATAAGAAAGACCTGGTTTGTTAACCCAAGCCTATAGGTCATAAGAAAGACCTGTTTTGTTACATCAGGCCTATAGGTCATAAGAAAGACCTGGTTTGTTAACCCAAGCCTATAGGTCATAAGAAAGACTTGGTTTGTTTGCTCAGGCCCATGGGCGTAGCCAGGGGTGGGATGGAGGTGGGGTTCAACCCCCGCCCCCGAAATGAAATTTAGTGATTGATTTTTTGCTTTGATTTTTTTCCTTTTAGGTGAGATTTTAATATTAAGCCATCACTTGCCACAGCACAGCCAAAGAAGGTTGAGTTTAAAACCCCAACAAGGGGGTTTGCGGTTAAACCCCCCCCCCCTCTCCTATAAAACAAAAGAAATAATGCAAACGACAATCCCCAAATTTCAAGAGCATAGCTAAGGAAGATTTTGATTTTAAAACCCCTCCGATATTTTTTAACGATAAAACCCCCTCTTCAATATAAGACTAAAGCATACATCCGTCACCAGATTCTATGAGCGTAGCCATTGAGTTAAAACCTTCTCCAGTGAGGTTTAAAGCTAAAAACCACCTCGTCAATATCAAAAAAAGCAAATTACACGCTCAAAATTCTGTGAGTGTAGCCAAGAGGGGTTTTGAGTTTAAATCACCCTCTTCCGGATGGAATTAAATTTAAAACCCCTACAGATGGTTTTCAGGTTGAAAACCCCTCTCTTCAATATTATTCTAAAGGAAACTACAGTCACCAAATTCTAAGAGCGTGGCTAAAGGGGTTTTGAATTTTGAGTATATTTACCCCCCCCCCCCCCCTTAGATGATTTTGACGAAAAAACTTCCCCTTTCGATATAAAATGTAAAGCAAACCACAGTTACCAAATTCTAATAACGTAGCCAAGAGAGGCTAGAAATTGCTATCAGTGGCTGGGCTCCATTAATAAAGTGCAGTGAATAGTCATCTGCCGAAATTGAAAAAAGACTAAATGTGGCTAAAAAAGACAGCTAAGTCGGATTTTAGGAGTCAGTTATAGAGATCGGGTCTCAATCAAGAAAATCCTATGCCGAACTGGGAGTCGACCCCTTAGTTAAGTTGTGACAGAGCGTCGCATAAGGTTTGCGGGGTATGTTCTCCGACACCATGAATTACGAGTTGCGATGGCATAGAAGCCATTATTAGGAAAGCGCAAATAGGGACATCCTAATACAACTTAAATTGGCGCCACACTTTTATGGAGGTACTCAGAGCAGTGGACACACGGTGGAAAGAGGATTCAGGCATTGCCATTGCCAGATTTTTCTGGATTCAGCTTGCGGCCCTATGCGCCGAACGGCGCGGGAGGATTTAAGTCCTAAGTAAGCAAGAATAGCAGATTAAGTTTTTGAATTAAAACTTTTTAATTGCAGGATAATGCACTGTAGATACCTTAGAATATGCATTTTTTTTTTTTTTGCTTTTAAATACTTGGGAAGGTCGGGGAGTCTTACAATTTTTCCACTAACTTCAAGACGAAGCTATTCTAGGTTACAATAAATGTCTTCCGAAAGAATGAAGGGTCAAAATGCAATTTCATTGAGGAGGGGTTGAACCCCAAAACCCCACCCCCTGGCTACGCCCATGATCAGGCGTTATTATTCACCAACTATTAATTAGAAGGCCGTCAAGACACACTAGCGGATCCAGAACTTTGGAGTGGGAGGGCGATTTTTTCCAAACCCTAACCCTAACGCCCAGTAAACCCTAACCCTATGCATAAACGTGCGTACAGCACATACATTTATGTATATGTATATGACAATTAAAAAAGCAGCATTTCTCAACCTTCGGCGAAAAACAAAACAACTTGGGCAGCGCTATAAGGTACCGTAGTGGGGTTCGGGGTGAAGCCCCGACGCCAAACGCGTTTTCTTGCTTTTTTTTCACTGCTGAAACGTATTCTCCTGACATCTACAGCTCATTATTCATAAAAAGGATTCGGGGCGATGCCTTACGCCAAAAGCGTTTTCTTGCATTCTTCAATGCAGAAACGCATTCTCCTGACATCTACAGCTCATTATTTATCAATAGAGTTCGGGGCGAAGCCCCGACGCCAAAAGCGTTTTCTTGCATTCTTTTCTGCAGAAACGCATTCTCCTGACAACTACAGCTCAATATTTATCATTGGAATTCGGGGAGAAGCCCCGACGCCAAAAGTGTTTTCTTGCATTCTTCATTGCAGAAACGCATTCTTCTGACATCTACAGCTCATTTTTTATCAATGGAGTTCGGACGCAAAAAACATTTTCTTGCATACTTCACAGAAGAAACACATTCTCCTGACCTAAAATAATGTACTTGAAAAATATTCTAATATGAATTTATAGGCCCTTAATACATTGCAAATAAAACCAATTTGTTCCTTGAAAAGATAAGATACCCCACATATTTAGATTTTGGCTTTGAGGATCCTTGCCGAAAAAAAGAATTATTCGATAAATAATATTCAATAGAATGTAAGTATAAATTGTGAGTTATAGTCCCAAATGTATTTAACTAGAAAAATATAAGATTGAGTAAGGTTGGGAAAAGGCGACTATGTAAAATTTATATGGGTTTAGAACTCATCTCAATCATGACTTTTATACTGAAAAATAATTATGATAAATTCATTTGAAATTACATAAACTCTGTCTGGAAATGGGAGGGGCGGTAGAGGGAAAACGATTAATCCTCGCTCCTTTAATAATTTCTGTTAAAGATTGCATTTGGCATTAAAGAATAGGGGTGGGGCGACTCAACTAATTTTGCTCACAAACAATGATTCTCCATAAAAATAGGACCGCCCCCTCACTCAGAGGGCTAGAGTGAGGAGGGCAGTACATGCAATCACCCTCCCCCAACCCCACCGAATCGGCCAAGATACCAGAAGGGGATTGACATAATATAAAATTTACATATTAATTGAATTAATTTTGTTCACAGACTATGATTTCTCCATAAAAGTAGGACCCCCCCCCCCACTCAAAGGGTTTAGGTGGGAAGGGCAGTAAAGGTATTCGCCCTCCTCCCCCACCTAATCGGCAAACAGGGAACGACATAATATAAAGATCGGTTAAAATATCAATAACAAGTTTTAATCTTATAGATATTTAATTGATTCTGTTAGCAAGCTGTGATTTCTACAAATAAATTGGACCGCCCCCCCCACTCGAAAGGGTAGGGTGGGGGAGGGGTTGATACCATCGCCCCGTCCTGACGCCACCAAATCGGCCAACATACTAGAGGCGGGGGGCGAAATCTAAAAATAGGTTGAAATATGAATAATTAGTATATATTATTAACATAAATAATAAATTCGTATACGAATTGTGTGAATTCTATACTAAAATTCGTCCCCCCCCCCCGTGGTCGGCCGAGTGGGGGGGGGGGGGCGATCGCCCCTACCGCCCCCCCTTGATCCGCCAGTGATTTATTAAAACAGCACAATCACTGTACAAATAATAGCGCTATTATAGTGTGGAAGAGGAAGCCTGAATCAGTCAGAAAAGAACATGGTAGATTTTAAATGTCTACCGGATGGAAATGACAAAGACTTAATAGAGTTTGAATGTCTAAATGTCTACAGGATGGCGGGCAAGCAGGATTCGAACCCGGGACCATCGAGACGGCAGTCCAGAGCAAATACCACACGACTAGGCAGCAATAGAAATGAGAAAAATGACAATAAGGTGATTATGATTCAATAGAGAAAGTCTTTCAATGTCAGGGTTTGTAGAGACTTGGCAAATGTTTCTTGTTTCGTACAAATTAATCTCTAACATGAGAAACAGGTCCGCCCATGGGCATTGACTATTCAAGGCAGAGAATTGTTTTGATTGTTTAAAATAATGAAATTCTTGAGACGAGTCCCGGGCAAGGTGGCCACCACAAACTAACATGTAGTCTTGGGTGACTTCAACGAGTGGAGAGTGACTACAGCACAATCTGGGGCGAGACATGGTTTAAGTAATTGCAACGACAATGGCAGACCTATTGCTGGAACTCTGATCCAAATTTCAACTTGTGGTTACCGGTACCATTTTCCAGTATAGAAGCACACGCGCTTTGAACAATGGCATCTACTTGATGACATACTGGTGAGGCTATATGCGATGTTGGGGAAGTGATGCACACCAGAGATATATACCAAGTACAGACCAGCACCTTGTTGTTCGTGCCATGTTGCGTTTAGGAAAAAATTAATTCATAAATAAATTTATTATTATTAGACTAGATTTATTAAAAATGGATTAATTCAAAATAATTGATGCAATATAAGCTTTGTTTTTATTTCAGTGTTTTTACATTTTACAATGTCATGTTTAAAAGCATTTTACTACATTATATTTCAATCCACCTACATTTTACATTAAAATAGAAACACAACTTTATTAAAATCAATCAGGTCTACATAATATTATATAAAGTCAAGTCTAACAAGTAAATTATTATGAAACAGTTTGATAGATAGGGCAACCGATAGCTCCAATTTAAGTCTTGTTGTGTATTCAATGAGTACGACAAAGAAAAGCTTTTCTTTTGGTTAACACAGTGATGGATTTACCTATAAGCTACAACCCTCCACTTGTTTGGGAACCCCACCAAATGGTTGTAAGGATATGTTCAATAATTTCGAAGAAAGATTTAAAAAAAAAGAAAAATTGCTGTATGTTGTTTACAAGGGACCCTCATATCTTAAATAGCTTAGGACCTTATCAAGTCTAAATCTGGTCCTGGGTAAATATTCTAGTATATATTACGCTGAGTTGAACCAGCCCGTAAATTTGAGAAAAACATCTCCCCCCCCCCCCTTTTTTTTTCCGACTTTTTTAAATATAGTAAATAGTCTTAATTACACTATTTAACTATTCTCCTGCTTTTCATTTCTTATTCGAAATATTTGATAGGATTAGGCTCTATGATAGTTTTTGTATTACTTTGATATTCTGCAAGTTGTAATGCGGTCATATTTTGGCAGTACACCCCATTTTTTTTCCTTCTGTCAATAAAACTGCCTGCATTTCAACCAACCCTGTGTATTCTAGCATAGGGCCTATGTTACGTTTAATTTGAATGACCTATTTTCAAACGTCCTCACAAGCCTTTAGGCCTGTGAATTCTATAATCACTTTTCTCTCCCTCCTCCTTCCTTTTTTCGCCTGCCCCTCCTTTGAAAAAAAAAAAATGAAATTTACTATCTTTACGTCTAATTGATACGAGAGGAATAGTTTTCATCTTAGTTCACGCTCTTCCCAGACATGCGTTTAGCACATGACTAATAGTATGTTACACTGAACTAAAACGACCCGCTTCTATCGACCTCCCACACACAAACACATATACTTCTGGCCTGAGAATTCTAGTATCACTTTTCTCACTTCACCCCCCCTCCCCAGGTCACCAACCCCTAAAAAATAATTCTACAAAACAATCACCGACTTTTTATTTAATTTCACATTATAGTATTTCATAAGCTCTATGTTGCTTTTCGGTAGGACACATTTTGTCATCACTCAGACGACGTACCACTCTCTCTCACCCTAGAATTCTATTCTCTCTTTTGTTTCTACCTCCACACACACACTAATAAAGTTCTACCTACATTTCATTTTTGTTTTTAGACATCTTTACACACAAAACACAAGAGAGTTCAAAGGATTGTTTTTACAAAGCCTGCATTAACTTGATGGTACAATTTTTTTTACAAATTATTTCTTCCACACCCAAACACAATTATTTATTGTACCTAACAAACAAAAAGATTCAATTTTTAAAAAAATAACCTTGTATCACTGTACTACATGTCAACTGTTGAACTGTTTCCACACTACAGAAAATAATTGATTACTAACACAATATTAAATAAATAGAGACGACTTCGTATTTTTAGGAGTATAAACATGAGCTTTCTTTTTATCACATCACATTCTGGCAAATGATTTTCACAATCGGCAACAAAAGATGAAATGCATAAACATAATATCTAATTCCTTTTAAAGTTAAAACATTTGATATCTGCAATGACCTATTATTTTATCATATGGTCACCTCCGTATTTGTACATTTCCTGACCTTGCAACCTCAGAACAGTTCTAAGCACACTTCAGGTATCATGGCCAGGCTAGAATTAATTGATGAAAACAAAATGCAAAAAAATACATAGGCCCAATACTCTTTTTATATGGCAAATTATGTAGTTTACAGATGGGTCTGTGTTAATATGTGAAATACTGCAATCCTCCTAAATCTCTGGACTTACATAAGTCTTATTTTTACTGTAACACTGAGTCAGCTTTACAAGTACAGAACTTATAGTGAAACTAAAAAGTACATTTAAGCTGAATACATAATTCATAGATCTTAATCACTATTAAGTAGTGAAGAGTTACATAACAACAACAGGAAAAAGCAGATCAAGTTCCCACACAAATTTGAACTTTAAAGAATTGTTGCAGTTCTAAGTACAAATAAGTCTTAGTTCCTTTGTCTTCCAGGTAGAATGAACACAACTTTTTTTTTTCAAGTAACTGCAGGCTTACAGCCAAACACTGGGACAAAGGAGTTATACAACCTGGCAAATGAAAAACATAACTACTGTTATTTATAGCCAAGTCAAAAAAAATTCTTATTATATTTGACAACAGAATACAATAGATTTGCTAAATGAAAAAAGTGTATTTATTTCAGACCTTTAATATTAATAACAAATTGATGAAAATGCATAAGCATCAGGGCCTCCGCTACATTTTGTGCAATGTGTGCATGCATTGCACACAGGTGGCCGATTGTAGGGGTGACCAAATCATTATTTCAAAGTTACCTTTATTATTTAAATTTTTAGTTTAAAAAAATACTCAAATACTTTAATACTTTATATAAATTCTAAATATTCCATTATCTTTTTTAAAAAAAAACGATATTTGTACATAAGAAGCTATTTTGTAAACATTTAATAACAAGAAATGGAACGGTGCGCGAGGGATTCCCAAGGGTTTTTTCATAGACACCTACATATTTCTGACCTTGAAATTTAGCGGGTTATCTGTAATATTTGTTTCGGATGACGCTTACAGGAGCAGATCAGTCAAAACATTTTTTTCTACTTAGTATCTACTTACTACATATAAATATTGTTGTTTAGTCGAATACTCCACCTTGTAAGTAGATCTAGTCATTAAAAACTCAAAAGTTATACACATTTTCCTTTTTATGTTAAATTGCTGTTAGTTAAGCGTAGAATATTTTTGGGTCATTATAGATGTAGATCTACATTGAGTTGTAGGCTACTAGCTGTTTGGAGCAACAAGCCAACGACAGACCAACAACAGGAGGGGGGGGCGGCAAAACAAAATGTTTTATTTTCATTGTATTTATTAATTCGTGTCTGAATATTACCAATGTTTACAAATTAAAATACCTTAAGATAGCGAAGTCGTTTCATGTTCTAATAAGATCTTGTCAAATGTAGACCATTTTCGCTAGAGGCGTGTACAACACTATTGGCTACAACTTTTTTAAAAAAACATTCCAAAACGTCTCCGCTAGTGTGATTCTTCTGGCTTTTCTTATCTATATTTGGTCGAATTCCTTCCTACTATTGCACTTCATTATAGTGACGATTTTTGTTTTTGTGAAAAAAAAAAGGTCCATGACAGAGACGCCTTACTTAGCATGAAAATGATCTTTAAAAAGATCAGGCCCATTACAGACGTCTGTGTAATGGTACCTAGAATAATACTATTGACCAGGGCTGCCTCTTTATTACTAGATTTTTTTTACTAGGATGAATAGTGCGTTCTAAAAGAAAACTCGTTAATGTTGTGGCCTATTTAAAAAATATTCTTTCTTCTTATTTAGGAGAACAAGATGTAAACGCGAGGAGAAAGAATTTCTGAAGGTGATAACACCAAAATAGGCTAACCGTCGTGGCCCTTGCCGACTTAAATGTTTAATTCTACCTCAATAAAAAAAGTTTTTACAACGCTTAAAAATTATGAAGGCAAGACTATCCCCCCCCCCCCCCCCCAAAAAAAACAATAGCAACACGTTTAACATCGCTTCAAGGGGCTGCTGTTTTGTTCTTTGCCACAGTTGCTCATTCGAGATCAGCGGATCATAAGAATCTTCCTCAGGCAGGTATTGATGAATACCTGGATTTTTTTTTCATGGTGTCTCTGCTCTGCTCCATAAAGTAGTATAGGCTTAATAATGGTGTTAAAGAGCCAAATCTTCGTAGTGGTGCTTATTTCCCTAGATCCCCAGGTGTTCTTCAGCTGATGGGTGGCTGCTCGAGCTTTACCAACGAAGGTTCTGACATCTGGTCTATGATACTGCCGAGATAGGTGTGGCTTTCAACCTCTTCCAGCGCCTCACCTTGGACTGTAATGGGTGTATTGTTGGACGCATTTATTTAGAACACCTTGCTCTTCCTATTCTAGCTGAATAGTCTGCAACAACATTTATCTTTTCCTGCATCTGCTGCTGTGTGTGAGAAAGGTTCAAGCAATATTTTTAGGATACAAAAGAAAAGCTGACAAAACGGAAAAAAATGACAATAAAGAGAATGTGTGAAAAATAAATGACTCCGGATTAAGAGTATATAATATAGACATCACAGGATTCAGGGGAGGAAAGGTAAAGATGATTCCCCGCTCATTGCTTCACCTCCATCACCAACCCCTAAGGTTGACGGATGAGTTTTTGAAATTGATAATTACGCACGCAAGTTATGTGTTCATGCAAAAGACAGATGAGTTAAAATTGTCTATATCATTTTTTAAAAATATTGGTCTCTTATAGATACTTATTCTGCTTACGGCAGATTGTTGATGTTACAATTTAACCCCGCCTTCTCTATCATAAACCAAATATATTTATAACAATTTTCGCGAAGGTATGATTGCCCCTCTCCTTTTGTGTTCAGTACCACATACAATTTTTTGTTCTTCAAAATAAATAAAAAAGTTCAAATTAAAAGAAAAAGGTTTCATACACACATTAAACACACACATATATAATTAAAACAACAACAACAAAAAAACAAGATTACAAAGAGAGTTTGTGTTACACGGCCCCCGTCGAAGTCGGATCCCTGTCGGATCTGCCTATTCGCAAAGAATATTCAAGAGGTTATTTAATTTTGATGGTCAAAAGTCATAATGTTTCAAAGATTCATTTGCCGTTGTAAAAAAATTTTTTTTTTTTTTTGTTTTACATGTTTCGGGTGTTTCTTCAAGTTTAAAATAACTTTGCGCTGGACGATGGAGGATGGCAACAAGCAGGGTATGAACCCTGCCTGGTCGTTGCTGGACTTTCGTTCGGATTTATCGATGGTCCCTGGTTCAAACCCTGCATGCTCCCATCCCCCGTCGTCCTACTGAAGGTTTGTAATTAAAAAAAAACAAAAAAAACAACAAAAAAACAGGTATATCGATGTCTCAGCACAGTTAGGCCTATCAACAGAGATATTGGCATTTTTATTTAAATGGAACTAGAATGAGGATGTAGCTCTACCTAAATTAAACTAATTTAGAACTCTTAAGATCTATTATCTACTAGATCTAGATCTAAAATATGAACTTGGAATAATGTAGCTGTAATTAAGATAAGATTTGTGTACAAAAAAATATCCTAGATAATCTATCAATAGGCTGAATGCAACATTAAATTTAAAAAAAAAAGTATATTAGTTTTAGTATAGGCCATATTATAACATTGCAATATTATCAAAACGTTTGGAAATCAAAATCTACACTTTAAGTCTAGAAATTGAAATTCTACATCTTAATCTAGTCTATTTTAGTCTAAACTAGATCTAGAAA